AAAGTCATGGTTCTCTCAACTGGATGCTGTAACCACATACTAAATGTATTTATTGTCTTTTATTTAGTATTATGATTTGGTTTAATGTCTGGAACTAATATTAAGAAGGATTATTAATTGCACTTTTTTATAGGGGTAAGAGGCATTTCATTCACTTGTTTTCTTTCTTTCAGGAAGAATTATATTACGGATGTCATTGATACCACATGACTCATTTGGGGTCATTCGAAGGGAACACAAACCTGGCGGCAGTAATTTTGCTGTTACTGAAGACAGTATAAAAGAATGTGTGAGACCATGTTACCTATTTTATGCAGGTAAATTTTTTGTAGAATATTGGTCCTAGATGATTCTCTTAGTATGTAGAAATAAGATATAAGGCACATAGTGTATAGGTCTTACTTTCAAAATGTGGTATGTGTTCTGACAGACATTTTATGAGTAACTTGTTCTGATTTTCTCACTTTTGTAGTTTGTAGCTTTGCAGAAGGGCATCACAGAAGTCGTACCACATCATCTACTGAAGCCGTTTGACGAAAGGGAATTAAAAGTGATAGTTGATGTATTAGGCACGATTGCTATTGATGATTGGAAAGGCAATGCAAGGTTAGAGGTAGGAACTCTGAAGTGTTTGTTTAAAGAACAGTTAATGAAAATAAAATCTGTAATCTATGTCACTGGTTCTAAAGGAGCATCAAATACTTGCATCATATATAGAAATTAAAGCCAATAACCAAATAAGCAAGCTGATGTATATGTATCCTTCCTATTTTGTTTTGTTAAATATTTTAACAAAAGAATTTTCAAGACAACCAAATTTTCTCACGACAGCCCTCCTTCCCTCAGCCAATTTTTGTAAATTATGTGATGGAAATGTCAAACACATCCAAGGGGTTAATATATTTCTTGTTGTGAAATTATTAATTTTCTATATACCTCCTAAATCTTTTTCATTATTTTTTGCAATGAACTCGAGTCAAACACAGATAGATAGATATATAAAAGGTGACAGATAGATAGATAGACAGATAGAGACAGATAAACAGACAGGCAGACAGGCATGGAAGACAGAGACAGACAAAGATAGGCAAACCATACAATCATTCACACAATCAAAAAATCTTTAAATGCTTTTTTCTCTCAAACATGTTTCACATCTATTCACAGTGAAATTATGTTAGTCTACATATTCATAAATTCATAAAGAAGCCAAGTAATAAGCAAGGCATTAAAATTCCAGACTGAAATGTAAGCCAATACATGAACTGCAATACATAAGAGTTGGACAATATCAGAGCCCCAGCACTGTAGGAGTGCTGTCAAATGAAAGTATTTCATAACCAATATTTAGTTACTTTTTGAAAATACAGCAGAGCTTGGGGGTGAAGCTCCTAGGTAAGGAAAGGATATACAGCTTTAAGAAAAAGTAATAAAGCAAAAAGGTTAAGAATAAGTTAACATTTAGGGCAAAATATGTTAGATAAAGGTTGTAGAGTGCTGCACATTAGCATGATAGTGAAAAGGGTGAAGAGGGAGCAGCAAACGGAGTACAAAGACCATTGAGGACTGACACAAAGCCAACCTTTCATCCTTCCCTTTCAGCACAGCTCTCACACTTCAGGGTGTGGACAGAAGGGGATGCAGAGAAGGAAAAAGAAATGCAAAATTAGCTGAGGGAAAGGCGGAGGTCCAAGGCAGCAGTAATTCCCCATATTGGGCCCCAGTCTCTGTCTCAGCAACATGGGCATGGGATTGGGGGTGGCCGTGACCAATATGACAATACTTTTGGGTGTTTTTCAGTGCAGACTGAGCTCATTAGATGAAACTGCTTAATTATTTTTTGTTTGGCAGAAAGAAATCACTCCCTGATACATGCACACTTGTCCATTTGCAGCCTTTCTTGATAGGCTAAATATGATAAGTACAATAATCTGGTAAAATAAGATATTTGCACAATATATAAGCACTAATGAATCATTTAGTACTTCAGATTCTTTATATGATATCCTTTTCTCTTACCTTATATCAAATTAACTGTAATTATAAAAGGAACATATGTTGAAAAAAGAAACAACAATTCATGATTATTTCTATTTAGGAAAAATCTATACAGTCATCTTTAATGATAAAAAAAACAAGCAGCCTTCATGTACATAGACTGAAGCACATAACATAAAAATTGTGTCTTCATAGCAATAAAGCTGCCCACATACCCATTGGAAAATTGTGCAACAAAATTTTTATCATACATGAATAAAAAATAAACAAAAACTATGCTCAAGCACGAGAACCAGCGAAACTTAAATTATATGTTTAGAATCTTTTGAAGACCACAGCTAACTAACCAATAGTAACCATAGTACCATCTTACTATGAAGAGTTTTGATGGACTTTTTAAAAATAAGTGGGTACTCACATTAAAATACCAGCCATGCTAATACAGAAGAATATTGAAAATAACAAAAGCTTTCCTCAAAGGAAGAAGACTTTGGATTAGACAACCACAAATTCTAAAAGATTACGAGAGGGACTTGCATAGACCTTTTAAAGAGAGCAATAGTTAATCCCTCAACATCGATCTTCTTGAGTTTTCTACAATACATACACACCCCTTCCCACCCCCCACACCTTCCCTGGTTTCATTAATTACTAATTTGTCCAAACACACATACATTAATGGTTGCATAAGACATCAATATATTTAATAGTGAGTGTGATCCTTTGGTTTGTACCATTCATTGCACCTTTTAGTGAAGAAAGAGTAATGGTCAGGCAATTATTGAGTAATATCCTCTTCTTGCAACAAGATATTACACAATGAATAGTGTTTCCTTAGAAAATGTATAAAGATGTGTATCAACTTTCCTCTGTTTTCTGTTCACACATTTTAATTGCTTCAAGTATTGGTAATGAATCTATGACTTTGTTGACTATATATACCAAGGAAAGTTTTACTTTTTATATAAATGCAACCTTAGGTGGGAAATAATGTTAATCATCATTTACAAGTTAAAAGCCTTAAGAAAATGAACACATGAGGTTGATATATTGGAAAAAATTGGCTATGAGGTGAAATACAGCCTTTGTGAAACTGCCGTCTGGATAGGCAAAAATTACTAAAATAAAATCCTGACACAGCACATTCTGAAAACATAAAAGTTAAAGTAATTCAGGTATACACTGTGAAAGCATTTATGATTACTTTTTATAAAATAAATCATAATAAAAAAAATTAGAAACATTTTTTAAAACTTCTCTCAGTGCGTTTGTGCTTAAACTTTGTCCTCCTGTAATTATTTACAGATTAAGGATCTCTTCATGCACTTGTCTCAAAATCAAATAACAAATAAACCTACATCATAGCATCAATTTTTGGATCTAAATTGTGAAGGCTTCTTCAGCATTATCCTTTTTCAGTATTATCTGTCATATACACGCATAGATTGCAACCTATCATCCACAACTTGGTATATACATTGACACATTATCAAAGTGACATTAATCCTCAACACATACACCTGAAGAAAATATTCCCAGCACATTTCATAAAGAAAGCTTGTGCAAAAAACTGGATTTGCTGTTTTCATTTTTAGAAAAAAGGTTGTATAAAGTCTTGACCTTTATATATTTATATATATATATGTATCAAAACTTATATCAAAAGATTTTCTTTTATGCTTCAAAACATTTAACATGAAAAAGAAAACCACAAAACCAATGTATTCTAGCTAGAACATAAAAAAAAAAAATAATAATAATAATTTTCAAATGTGATAAAATCTTTTAAGTAAATAATTTCACACTTCCCGATTGGTAGGAACACAAATCCACATCCACAGAATTGTAAAAATAATTACTTAATACTTTAGGTCCATAATTTCTATTTTCAGAAAAGAATCTCTATCTATCTACATGGAATATGCATCAATCTTCTCAAAACACAAAAACACAGGCATGATCAAAACTCCAAGCACCGTGTAATATACTCTTTAGAAATCATTCCCACCTTTTGTAGTTTTAAATGAAATAAAAACACATTTACTTCTTGTCCGAGTCTTATCTCCTTATTTCCCCAAAGAACACTTGTACAGTCCTCTTCTAAATTTTCCTACAAGAAACTTCTACCACTCTACATATGGGCTTATAAAGTACATTTAGAAATAATAAAATAACATTGACAAAGATAAAAATAAGAATCATAATAGTAAAGTTAATAGTAATAATAAAAAAACTAGTCATCATAGTAATAACAAGAATTACATGTTATCATTTATTCTTAAATGCCAGTTACCTTGAAAGATCAACTTTGTAATGTATTCCTGAGTAGATAAACTGAAGCTTCTTTTTCAAAATTACTCCAGATTTTAAATTTGCCTTTATATACTTCCTACAGGAAAAAAAAAGAAAGAAAAGTAATAATAGTATACATTTTTCTGTTTTTGTTCCCTTTCGCTTTGTGCAATCACCAAAAAAATAATTCATTTTATCTACTGTCATACTGCTGAAGTGATTGCCATTTGAAACTGGATCCAGTGCTTTTCTTCTTAAAAGTATTTAATTTCAAAAGCTGTTAGTTCTATATACAATGTTTACAGATTACCGGGTAATAATCTCTAGATTTCATCACCATTTTTGTGGGCATTCGTGCCATTTCACTTCTTTTACTTGCTAAGTGCTTCCTGCTTACATGAGCGAAAAATCTCCATAAAGACTTGATACTTATTTTGTACAAGTTAAGGCTCAAATGTAAACTTTGATGGAGATAGTATAAAAATGCAATATCATGAAGCACTATTTTACATGAAATTGTGTACAAGAAAGGCTCCAAAATGAAACAGACCATCAGTAACAAGAAAATGCATGCCCTAGGGAAATGCATGTGTAATGGAAGCACACTTCAATAATTTTTTTTCATTTATTAAGAATATTTCAACTGAAACAGTAATAATAATTACATAAAATACATATATGATACACCTGAATCACATATCAACACTTCTTTGTTAAATCTTGTATATAATATTCCTAACCGCATCTAAAGGTGTTTAAGGAATATGTCTCAACATGACTAAAATTTTCATCAAAACAATTTATGAACATTACTGCTACAAATTTCTAATTACAATGCCTGAAGAGATAACAAGTAATTATAAAACTACTGTACAAAAGTAAACTAAGAGTCGCTGATCAATGGGGGAAAAAATCCCTTTATAATTCAAAATTATTGGCACTCTTCAATAGCAATAACTGCAGCAGATTAACGTTCTAGCTACACTACAGCAATGACTACCCTAGCCTTAGTGGCAGAAGGTCTCTTGCTCCATTCTACCTAACCCTGTACTGATGATCTCAAACACATATCTAAGGACATGTTCTGTTGGTTCTGTGCTACTGTCTAATGCAAAAGTTTACTTTTTCAGGAATTCAAGTTTCACATGCAATACTACACCATTTGTATGTTGGGACACCATTTGAAGGGAAATAATAATAGTCGCTTAAAAAAATCATAAACCCTGTTTAAGTTCATTGGTGCAACAATGCGATTAAACTAGATAAATGCCAGACACAATATGAAAAATTAAAAATCTTCAAATAACTGATGCTTTCACTGTCTACATAAGGTTTTATGTTGAATCCTTACTTGGCTGTTACATTACAATCACCAATGCTAACACAGAGTATCATTTGGCATAATAACATTTATCCTTAGTATTTAACAAGTATTCTGTAAACACAACTTCAGAAAATGATACAGTTCTTTTTATTCTTCTTTGCAGCCATTTTAGCTGGTGGGCGTTCTGCAGCCTGGAACTTCCGCACTATTCTCACCAACTCGTAAAATGACTGGTCTACATTAGTACGATTTTTGGCCGAGCATTCAATGTATGGAATCTTCAGTTGGCGCGCAAGGGTGTGAGCCTCCTCTGTGCTTGTCTGAAAAATTTAAAAATATCATTAGATAAAGATGAACAGAAAGTGAGGATGATGAACTACTTCACAAAGAACTAAAAGCCATAAACATAAACTGCTGACTCAAATCTCCTCTAATAAGTACCTCTATTAATTATCAAATAAAACCTCACACTACCTTCACTCAAGATTTTTTACAAATGACTAGAACCAAGTAACTCTTCTCATTTCTTTGTCAAATCTTACAGTTTCTAAACAAGTGATAAATCAAATCACCAAAGGGAATAAAATAAGTAGTTTTGATGACATCTAGTCCTACAGTGTGGTCATCATGTATATTTTAATCTTAAAGTACAGAAAAAATTACAAACAAACTCCATCTCCTTCAGCATGTAACTAGCTCCCCATTTATGCAACCTTCTACAGTATCCTCTATTCCTCTCTCTCATGTTCACTCTTTCTATTTATTTGCTAACATTTATTTCCCTATTTGTCTCTCATTTATTCAATTGTTCTTCCACTGTATTTCTTTTTAGCCTCTCTCTCATTCATTAAGCTGTTGGATCTGAGTGCCTCAAACCTCGCAGGTGGACCAAATCCAGTCATTAGGCTTACTTGAGTGATGATTTTCACGGGTCTGCCTTGTAGGCTCGTCCCAGACAAACATCCATGAGCAGAATCAAAATTTTGCCTTCTCTTTGTTATGCTATTAGTTCTTAATCTGCATGCCCATTTGTTACCATTTTGCTGTTTTTCAAGACCTTTATTTCTCCTTTGCTATGCTGTATCATTGTTTTCATTGAGCAGATTCCATATTATCTATCCTGGTAGCTTCCAACTCTGTGCAGTAACAACAATAAGAAGTAACAATGTGTTCTTATTTTTTTTTTTTATAATACTCAATTTTCCATAACACCCTGTGTCAAAGCAGGCAGGAATCGATTCTGCCATATGGATATAATATCCTTGAAAGAGCTAGCACTTATCCGCGTATGGCTCACAGATGTTATATTACACCCTTGGTTACCAATAGAAATTGTGAAAGAGACACTTCCTAGGGGCCCATCAAATCTGTTCTCCCACCAAGAGGTATGCGCACTTGTGGCGAGACATTCCTGCCATCTGCCACTCAGCTACAAGATCTCATGATGATATGTTCCCCTTATCCTTTAACCAAAATTTTCCATTACAACACATTCCTATGATGCAGATCCAATGAGATGAAATTTTTCACTCACTCTCATATTCATTCTTTACACTCTGCCTCTTTACCCTGTTCTTTTTAACTTACTATCTTTTCCTACTTCATTCATTTATCCATTAACTCTCTTATTCACTCTATTTCCCTCTTTGTAAATTTCTGGCTGAACATTACGTATCATTAGCTTCCAATCTGCTTCAAATCGATTGGATTTTACTCTAACTTTGCTTTTCTGTACCTCCACCATTTTTTTTTACTACATATAAAGACAATAAACTGGCTTCACAGTAGCCATGGCATGTACTTACATATCATTACTGATGGCATCGCCTTAAATAGATCTGAATAAACATCAGTATTAGCCAAATACCTCCAATAATATCAACAAG